GCATAGGTAGTGTGGGACTTACTCTTCAGTCTGTGAGAGAACGACTGAAGAGCAGAGGCCTGCAGAGTCCTCCTTATATACTACTGGGGAGGACGATGAGTAAGCGTATAAGAAGAGAGCATGTGACGTCCAGAGGACGCTGACTGAGCGATGAGTAACGCTGAGTAAGGGAGCATAATCGACATAAGGTCAGATAGTCCATGGCTGAGTAATGCGAGTAATCCGGACGCTGTCTAGAATAGTCCGGAACATCGTAGAACGTACCAGAATCATGTGGAGGGATGGCAGGATGCCAAGTAAGTACAGAACAAAAGAATGTACGTATATGGTAAGTAGGAAAGTCCATGCTGGCGTATGGTAGACGCACAGCCACTATCACTGCCACTCCCGGTCCGGCACAGCCGTAGACACAGAAGTTCAACATGATGGTGCGCGAGTTCGCGAGCCCCTGCAGTGAGATGCAGATACTACATATATATAATCGTCTTGGGAATAATCTGGTGTCGTCATGTCGGGTCAGAGAAGACGCTGTTGGAGGTTGAGCTTGGGTCCACGGCGCCGCATCCAAAGCTGAAATGAACATAGTGGGCCTATTCTACGTTGCGTTTACTGGTGCGTGGTAGTATGCACATATGGGGGCATAAGCTCTCCACAAAATGTCTCCCGACCTCGTGCCTCGGCGTAACTTGCGTCACTTCAAGCATCGGTTATCGATAGCTTGGCGAATTCGCGGGCATGCTCCTGTGTTGACACCAGGGCTCGTCAGAATGCCTATATTTGAGATAAAATTGCGTTCAACTGACCTCCTCGGCTTCAGTAGCAGCCGTTTCCCCGACATCCATGGAAGACTGTGCCACCTAAACGTCAACCTCATCGGTAAGCAACCTGATCGAGCTATGGCGCCACTGTGCTCGGGGACATAGGAAAATAGCCAACAGACCTGTGCATCATTAGAGGCGGGATCAACATCCATTCCGACCATAGCCTGAAACGCGCCGCTCTGCAGAGCAGGAAGCAGCTTGTTCCTCTCGATGTACCCCCAGTACAAGAACCACCGCGGCTTGCCCAAGTACTTCCGCAGTACATCGAGAACCCCCTGCTCCGGGAGCTCGTTCGCAGCTCGATATATCTCGATATCAAGGTCCTTGAAGTTCCAGGCCTTCTCGACTATGAGCTCGATGACCATTGTGGGGTACTCTCTGCTTGGTAGACCGTCGCCGGTGGACGTTCGTGTGGCTGTCGACTATGCACTGGTCCCCTGTCTCCCACATCAGAAGGTCCGCAGACCAGCGCAAGATCGACATCGCGCGCCCGCCTTCCTTGCTGCCCCACGGGGAGCTGATCGGTGTGTTTGCTAGGTTTGCGTCGAAGTCGCGGTAGACGTCCCATTCGTCCTTCAGCGGCGGGTATCCCTTGCGGCCTTTGAGTTCCTTCCCAAACCGGCGGGCGATCTTGAATGCAACGTGCATGTTGTACGGGTATCCGAGGACCCAGACCGGTTCCTCCTTCGGTATCTTGAAGGAGGATGTATTGGGTTGAACGTTCATGGGAGCTCGGTCTGTGTGTGTGATGATAGAGGATGGAGTGTGCACGGGGATGATGCACCTCTGCTCGCGTACCCTCGACATTTATGCTGTCATGATGGAAGCGGCCCGGGAATGGGGTGCTCAGCGCGGAACCGGCCTTGCCACGGCATCTGGGTACGTGAGCGATGTCCAGCAAAGGAGGCAGAAGTTTACGTACGCGAACATCTCTTCATGCGGAGTTCATTTGCGGGCCGGCGAGGACGGACGCGTGCACCATATGGTGCGATATGGGGGGCGAGAACGAGTATACCGAGAGGCAGCATGCCCCGAAGTCGATAAAGGCAAGGTTTTACGTACGCGAATCAGACACATTTATATGCATAGTCCGCGCGTTGAAGAGTGCAGCTGTATGGGGGCATGGATTGGCGGCATTTACTGCAGCCTGCAGGACCTGGAGATATATGTTCATGAACCATGTCTGACTCGAAAACATACGCATTGCACTGACCTTTTCGTTGTTTTGAGCATCAATGTCCGCCAGAACGCTTATTTCTGATTTGCGTCTGAACAATAGAGACAGCCATAAAATGACAAACTACGCCAACAGTATTGCGTCCCATAGCTTACATATCTGACACTGGGTGCCGAATCAGCGTCGATAGGGCTATCCTGACCAGAGCCTGAAACTCTCCTCTCTACAGGGAGTCAAAAAGGTCGTTCCGCTTTGATGCAGTTTTATTGAAGCGAAGCGAACTTCATCCACAAGTCTTCGATCTTGATGTCTGCGGCTCTCCGCGCGCGCGGGGTAGCCACGAGCAAGACGTCCGTCTGAGTCGCTCCGTGCCCTCCACTGTGGAGGCAGTTGTGCTGGAGATTGATCTGGGTACTCTGTGAAAGTAGGTGCTCTATTTGAGGATGCTCATGGCACGGACAAGCTCTGCCCAACGGCGAACCTACTAGATAGTTTCTTATCAGTCAATGATGCATCGAAGCCTTGCTCGACGTCATATCTGTTATCCAGTGACGGTCATAATTCGGCGTCGCTCGCTTTGAGCATGCGGGAGAGCTTGCATGCCTCGAAGAAGGTTCACAGAAATCCGTCGTGCCAGAGTCGCCTCCGTTTTTGCGAGGAATGTGCATTGACGAGTTGGGCTGGGTGGAGTTTGGGTGCGGTGCACTCTGTTTAAACGATGAGAGAACAGGTTGTAGAAATTATGTCTCCCAAAAGTGCAGAGGAAAGGACTGCGGGTATCGGAGACGTCAAGCGTACGGAGAGTGGTCGATGAGCGGCATACCTTCACATTTTCAAGCGAAACTTGAATGGGCCTGGAAGTGTCCTGTACTTGGAGCTTCCAAACTGCTTTATGACACAGCCATAGAGCTCGTTCCAATTTTTGCATGTCCAACTAAATTTAGACACAAACGAGCATAGATTGAGTCTTAGAATCAGCATAACACGTTCAAATACCCCATATAATTTAGAATATATGCGACATATCGCATATACCAGATGATGAGGAATATGTTTCTGAACGGTGGAGATGCTGGCGGCAAGAGAAGGGGAGCAGTCGATGACGAGAAAAGTCTGACCTCATAGCATTAGGGCAGGCTCGCTGAGGCTGGCGGGTGTCCCATCAAGTACTGACGCCCAGCTGGGCCTCCCCTCGACGTTAACGTACACATTGTTCACCTCTATAGTATCTCATCTTCTGACCTTTCTTCCGTCGTGCTTTGATGTACGAGACGATCCTCTCTGCGGCTGGATGGCAGCAATGCGATACACCCCGCCGTTTCTCCTATGAGCAGTCCTCTCCGGCAACGTCTCGAGTATCGACATGCATCAGCAAACCACCTGCCGATATTACAGGGCCCTATAGGGCCCTATAAGGTTCATAATCGCCTGTAATACCGGGTCAATAAGGCAGTGTATTACTGCTAGGAAACCGTTTATTATCATCTTCCATAATCCATTGTAATAACACCTATGCCCTATAGTGTTCCGGCCAATCGAGTGAATGTATAGAAGGCATGACGGGAACTATAGGGTAAAGAGCGTATTGCAATGGTCATACATACGGAGTAGTAGCGGGTGCCGTTACGGCGCTCGCTCCGGTTTGCCCTCCGCTTGCTGCTCGCTTGCGATAAAATGATAGATATAATGAATTTATTCGAGCTATAGTACGGGTACATGCGGTCGAATACAGGATGTGAATGGAACGCGCGGGAGATGTCGGGAGAACGTGGAATGCCCGCGCGACCGCGCGAGAGACATCAGCCTCAGGACGGGGAGGCATGCGCACACGTGAAGGGACTTGAAGACCGGGGTCGGGGCGCGCGAGGAAGGACTAGACAGCGGAGCGGCACTAATAACAGATAGCGACAGCGCAGGGGTGAGCGAAAGCAACTTGAGCTGATAGACAAAAAGTAATGCGGCAGCGACGGAGTGTTGGCGGCGAGCAGGAGAGCGCATATAGTCCCATAACAGTTGGGGGCAGGCACTGGTAGGCGGAAAGACCCACCAGCGGAGGGCGCACAGAAGGCGGAGTGCAATGTTCGACCATGCTGCAAAAGCAGTAGAGCCGCAGTCGCGACGGAACCCAAGCCACAGCGTGAAGGGACTTACCTGGTATGGCAGAGACTATACTAGATGAACGAACATCGGGGTTCAATGAACTGAGCCGCGAGCGGCGACGAACCTTTGCTGGGACCGTTTGATTCGGCACTAAGTAGTGAAGTTTGTCGCCGCACAGGCAGACGTCTAGTCGCGGTCGAGCACGGTCGTTGACGAGAGGTCGCCAGTCAGAGAGCAGTGATGATGGGGGTAAAGGAGAGAAAGGTGATAGAGAGCAACAGGACGTCGCGGCCGACTTTTGTAGAGGTTTGAATGGAAGACAGCGCGGAGTTCGATTAGCGACAGCTCAATGTCGGATGATGTCATGGGGAGGCTCCCCACTGGGAGACGAGCGCCAAATATCGGCGCATCAAGTCGCGAGGGGGTTTTGCCGCCGCGCGGAGCTCCGGTATACTTAGTACTCGCCAGGCCAGGGACATTGTATTATGTGGTCTTACAAGCTCCTGGTAATACGCTATCATCCACTATAATTAATAGGCCAAGAAGGCAGGCCATTGTCGCTTCCCACCCCATATGCTAGGATATTACAGGCACTTACATTAGCCTCCCGATATGCCAGAGTATTACAACCTTTACCACCCGCTATAATAAAGTCCGCGTTCTGCTGATGTGTCAGCTATCAAGGTTAGTGCATTTTTTTCGAAGTATGTCTAGCGCTGGTTGACGCGAATTCGTCCCGTTCTCGAGGCGAACGCCAACGCTAGATCTGCGTCCACAGCGGACGACATTGCGCGCCTGTATCCCCACAGGCCCATCTGCGAACACGCGTGCATTTTTCCTCGCGGACGCGTACGGCCGCGCGACACGTGAACGTCCGCAAGCGACGATTTCATGCAGGCTGTTGTCTCTACCCCACACGACCTCCGCTCGGCCGGTAATGGAGCTGCACCGCTCAAGTTCGCGTTCACGGGGCTCGTGCAGATCCGGCATGGGATGCTTCGCCTGGACTGGCGCTTCACAATATTCGCGTACGGACGCGTGCACTGTCGTGGACTGCTCTTTGGACAGCACGACGGAAAGGCTGCGCGAAGATCGATGATCCGGAGTACCATTTAGATGCGTGCGTGCGTCCGGGGCGAGTACTATGGGCTCACATTTGCAGTACAATCACCTGTCTAAAAGGTGGTGTGAGCTGATATCATGTCGAGAAGATGCCCGACGCGTGGCTGTACCTCATTATCCCGACCTTTACGAGCGGTGCATCCTTTAGTCATGTCCCTTATAGCCATTGCTGAATGCAAGGATGTGCCACGCATAGTATCTTACATGTAGCGAGGTTTCCGTGGCTGTTTTGTGTGCATACATGAGTAGGCGTCCCACATTTCCCCAAGATAGGTATGGGATGACGTTTGCCGCGCAGACATCTGTCGAAGGACGGGCATTGTATCGTGACAGATTATGTGGAAGTCTTGCACATATGCGTCTCGGTGCTCGATGCGTGCCCGTTGGTCTGAATGGCAACTTAATCAATAGTACGCTCTCGCTTGATTCGCCCGTCGTATCACACTCTGAATACGACTGTGTATAGCATTTCACAACGCGATCATCATAGGAACTCTCCGAAAATCTGCCTCCGAGAGATTTTGGCGTATACCTCGACCGCTGTGCGGCCTCTTCCTGACAACACTGCGGGTGCCGCCATGACCACAACGATGCTCCGCAGCGCTGACGAATGTTAGAGGCACTACTCCGAAATCATCATTACCAGCGCGTGTGCTGCATGCACCTAGATCGCTACATAGACTGCTCTTAGAGCTTCCGGCATATGGACTCGTGTATCATCGGACGACCAGGTTCACTCCCGATCTATCACGTAGCCCTTGCTGAGCAACTCAAACGCACATTCTCTAGCAGAACCCCGATACCAATTTTTCTGAGACCCGGACCTTCACGGCCATGTGTTACTTACCGTGTGCGCCTTCGCAGCGGAGCCATCCGTGCTGAGTACTCTGTGAGTGCTCAGTTCCCTTGTATCGGGGCATGCGATTTGACACCTCTTCGTCTCGCTAGGGTTGGTACCGCGCAGTCACGCATTGTTTGATCTGGTGAACCAGTGTCGCTTCCTCACGAGAGCGGCACGTACACGATGCAAAAAGGGTACCGGTCTTGTCCCAATCATGACAGATATTGATTAGTATCAATACAGACGGTTCTTCCTCCCGTTGCGATATCTTCTTGAGCCGTTTCCGTCAGCTCTGAGTGTGGCGTTTACAAAATCGAGATGCTGTCCATGCGTCTCTGGACACGGACAGATGCAAAAGATAGATGGAATCATGAACACATCTCTCGTCAATAACTCTATCAATACAGCTTGCAAACTTACGCCGACCGGTTTTTAGGAAGGACTGCGCACTCCCCTTGCTTCGAATCCCCCACTACCACTTGTACTTTGCGCAAAAATTCCCCAGTCACGCTCTTTACCTTCTGGACACGAAACTCTTTCTTCCTTGCAGCTTCTGTGTTCAGTGCCATGCCCCAAACAATCTTCGTGGATGACGCTTCTCCCAACGTCATATATTCCCCCTCAGATAAATGGGCCCAAGGCGCGACGTGCGGAGGTAACTGTCCGATTAAACCCAATCCTACCGCACTAAACAATCAAACATGGCACTACGCTACATATGACCCCGCACTGGACTCCGTCCCCCCTTCAATCACATTCACATTCACGGCCACCTCCCTCGTCGCTCATGTACTTCTCCCCCCATTGGTCCCGACGGCACCCACCAGCCACGTAGAAATTATCTGCTTCCTGGATGGGTTGGCGCTGCCCCCGTACTCATATGATCCCTCGAGCAGCAGTGATTTTATTGTGTCCCTGGCGAGATTCCCCCCGGGCGGTAGCAATCTCTCTGTCGACCATGAACACACGGTCCTCATGCAGATGGCAACTACAAAGGCGTCCGTCCTGATTTTCGACTGCTTCGAGATGACGGTGCCTGAGGGAGTCACTCAGGGACTCCCCGCACCTACGTCGTCACCCCCTCAGTCATCCCCTACGAGCTCCTCCCCCCCACCGCGCTCTAAACAGATCACGGACACCCCGTCCTCGACCAAGTTCTCATCTGCAACTTCTCCCTCGCCACAAACATCCCCTTCCTCATTGTTTACGCAGTTCTCTTCCTCTCACTGGGTGTCCTCGTTCGGAGCAAGTTCAACTGCAACTGCATCGGCGGAGGGCGCCCCTCAGTCGCGGCGTACGAACTTCAGAGCCAATCCCACGGATAGAGGTGCCGCTATCATCGGGGGCGCGGTCGGAGGTGGTGTCCTCTTGATCGTGCTCTTTGCGACGTTTTATGTTGTCCGCCGCAGGCGCGCTCATGGCCGTGGCCCAATCACTGGAGATGAAGTTCTTCGGCAGACGCCTAGGATGGTTACCGTCAACGCCAGAGGGAGATCCATCGGAGATACCCTCCCCCGCGACCTCTTCCCGACTCTCCCCCGCTCCTCCGCGCGATTCAAGGAGTCCTCCGAAGACCCATACGTTGACAACGGTGGACCGTCCAACCTTGACGTAGCGGAACCCGAGAACGTTGCGCTGCCCGATGACGTCGATACGTCTGCTTCGGTCATCATGTCCGCGACGGAGACACCATTTTCTCCATCGCGGCGCGGAACAATCCTATACGTAAGTTCTACACAGATATCCACAGCCGTCTGAATGCTCACGCTTATTCGTCGATACGCACCCAGCACACACCGACGTCACTCCGTTATCAAGACACAGGCAAAAAGACCACCGAAGCACGAAGGTCTCCTCATACCCCTCCGGCTCCCCGCCGCCCTCTTCCCGCGTCCGAGGCTGAACCCGGCACGGCGGAGCGGTATGCGCAGATGGAGGATCGTTCGCAGCGCATGGCTTCTGACCCGTCAATCCCGCGGTTTGGAGAGCGGTTGGTGGAGCAGATGGCGGCGCTTCGGGAGGAGGTGGCCCGGATACGGCAGCACCAACAACATGCCCAACAAATCGAGGCTCCGCCAGCGTATGATGGTGCGTGAGTTCGCGAACACTGCAGTGAAATGTCAACACCATGTCCGAGTCTGTAATCATCTTGGGGATAATCTGGGGCTGTCATGTTGGATCGGAGACGGCACCGTTGGAGGCGGCTACTAGTATCATGTACAGGCGGGAACATAGATATTGATGCGAAGTATATCTCACAATGTCGTGCCGCCAAGACGTGTGATGGGGCAGGGCACGGTGTCGGGCAAACGAGGCAGCTGTGTACGTACGCGAATCAACTACATCTCTCCATGCATACTTCGTTCGCGCGCCCGCGCACGTAAGTGCAGAAGGCTACAGATTAACGGAAGTAACCGCAGGACCTACAGTAGAATCATGCTCGTGAGCTGGGCATGATTCGATACATATGTACTGCACTGACCTACTCGTTCCTTGGACTAGACAGATCCGCCTCTCATGCTTCTTGGAACCGTGCCTGTAATGTAGAAACAGTTGTAAGAAGAATGGAATGCGCTACCAGAATCGCCATGGATGCATTTTGTAGCTTACCTAGACGCTAGCGGCCGAATCGGTTGGAGGCACAATGATCCCGGCCCGAGGCTGGTACTCGCCGCTCTCCATAAAGTCAAGGAGACCCTTCCTCTTCAAAGACTTCCAGTCCGGGAACCACCGCGGCTCTCCCAGATACTTCGAAAGCGCAGCCAAAGTCTCGTCGTCCGCGATCTTCCCAGCGTTCCGCAAGTCCTCCATATTGATCTCCGTGAGCCTCCGCGCGCGAGTGCTGCCCATAAGCAAGACGTCCGTCTGACGCCGGATCGTGCCCGTCACACCGGTGTGCACCGTCGGTAGCTTGTTCATTCGCAGATCGACCTGGGTATTGTGTTCCAGGAAGAGGATGCCCCACTCGAGGACGTCGACGGCGCGAGTCATCTCGTCGCTGCCGCGTTCCTCGCTATTCATCTCGCTATCGGCCAACGTCGGGTCGAAGTCGCGCTCGATGTCGTATTCGTCTTCCAGCGGCGGCCATATGTCGGCCCCGCTCGCTTTTAAACTGCGGGCGAGCTTGAATGCATCGACGAAGGTCCATGGAAAGCCGTAACGCCAGAGTAGCTTTCTCCTGCGAAGAACACGCCTTGGGGGGTCGTGTTGAGCGGCCATGGGAGCTTGAAGTGCGCTTCGCTGTGTGACGAAAGTTAGACGGCAGCGGCTTTCAAGGGAGGATCTTGCTCTGCTTGCGCCTCTCCGCTGGCGGTTTCTATGTCGTAATCATGCGCGATGATGGGGAAGCACGTGGCCGTCCGACGCGCGTAGCAGGAGGGGGGGCGATTACAAGAAGGCAAGCTTTAGAGACCACTTTTCCAGCCGGCTACATATAAACATAGCACTGCGCGGGCACTACGGACGTCAAGCACTAACAGTAACAGTAAGTAGTCGGCAGTGACTCGATGAGCCTGAGCAGCATACCTTCATGATCTCGCGAGATGGGAAAGAGGTAGAGCCTCCCGTACTTGGAGCTTGCACGCTGAGAGATCTACATGACCCAGACATAGAGCTCGTTCGGGCTTTGCGTGTTCCGAGGATAGCGTGAGTGTCAGAAGAGCGTAAGAGTAAGTACTTGTTACCGAGCGCTCGCGATGGAGTACCCGCGAGCATAGAGAACGCCTGCCCTAACGTCATTACGTCAGCCCTTTCTGCTCATCGACAGCTCCCTTTCCTCTCTTGATTCCTGCTACCACGCTTCGGGGTCGTCGACGTCTGGAAACATAGTCTTCACCCTCTGACATGCGAACTGGCTTTGTTTCTTTGCCCTGTGCGGCTCAAAGCTTGTCTCCGACTTCGCTCATGGCGCATCTGACTTCTGTATGCTCAGACGACGCCGTGCTTCAAGGCAAGCTTCTGCGTCTCAGAAATCTCTCCTGCGTTTCCTTTCGGACACTCTCCGAACTCTACCACAGATGGTAGCTTGTGCTAATCTTATAACTACATGTCCCTCCGCAAGACAAATTGCACCACTACACGACTTTGTTTCTAGGACATAGTACGTTCATGAAGCCAAATTTGTCTCCCTTTCGAAGCACGCATTGACAGTAGATTCTCGCCCACAGCCAATGGCCCCGCGGACCTGCAAGCCACCGTCCAGGTATTTCTGGACTAGATTCGCCGGGTTCCAAGCCTGCGTACGGAGGCAATACGCACATGTCTGCGTGTGGCGCCTTCACGCAGACCATTCTCGCTGGCCTATGCCACTTCTACACGATCAATTGTAGGGATGTGGCGCTCAGGTTCGCGGCCGTGCATGAATCCGGTACGGTGCGCTCGGCACGGGACGCGGCTTTGTAGCGTTGGTGCACTTGAGCACGGACGCGTACATCGTGGACCGTTCGTCGATGGGTCACACGACGGGCGGGATGTGCGGTGACGGAGAACCACTCTTATCATGCCCATGGGTATGTGCGTCGCACATAAGGATTGCGAGATGAGCTGACGTCTGGAGCACAGATACCTTTTGCCGGAGGAGCGGTAGCCGCTCCATACCTATACGCCCGCAGGCGTTCCCACATCCACCGAGGTGTATGCCTTCATCTTCAAGGAAGGTTTTGGTGTTCCTACGCCTACGTGCGTCTCGGTCGCGTCAACACCACGGGTATAGTCATAGTAAGTACTCGACCTTGGCGCCGCATCATAGCGGTGACCAATGTTAGACGTACCTGCTGATTGGCAGCGTGTGTGCGGAATGCACTGCGATCGCTCCGTAGGTAGTCTTCAGAGCTTCCGTGGTGTGGGTTCCTGCGTCCGCTCCGGGAGGAGGAACGACTCCTGCCTAAACATAGCTGTTCGCAGTGGACTCCACGCCAAGCATGGTCGCGCACGGCAGTGTGTATAGCAATAGCGCTGTCAAGGACCTGCTGCAGTGATATGTCAATCTATAGCGCAGTTTGTGAAGCGTCATTAACGGTATAAGTACCAGAAAGGAGGCGTCGAAGGTACGCACTTCACCCTCGTCGCTCTTCTCGAACACTCACTCGATACATAGTCTCTAGTTGAATTGCAGAATGATGCTCTCCAAGACCCTCGCCGCTGTTCTCGCGCTTACCGCGTGCGCCTGGGCATCGGGGCCCTTGGTGATCGATACGCCGTACGTATCGAGTGCTTTTACAAAGGTGTATGTGTCCTAACCACTGTTCGTCCCGCCAGGACGGACGCTACGCAGTGCGTCCCCACGCTCATCGTCTGGTCCGGCGGAGAAGGTGAGTGTATGTCGTTAAGCGTTACCACCCCCGGATGACTCAACGTCCACCCTCTCGAAGCCCCGTTCTTCTTGGTACGTTTCTTACCGCGTGAACTCGTCCGCTGCGGCTTTCTCACACGGTGTTTGGGTTTCAACAGGAGTGAGCAACGGCTCCGGCGCTCCTCACATGTCCTCTCCTCACAATCCCGCTTCGGCTCTACACACTTCGCAGAATCCTGGACGCTAATTCTGGTGAAGCCATCGAAGATTTTGGAAGCCGCTCCGGCCAACCGGAGTCGTTCATTTGGAGCACGAACATCGCGGCCGGTATGTCACGCATCGCTTACTGGCTTTGGTGTTACAGACGCGGACGGATTAACGCATGACCTTCTAGGTACATCCGTTAGCTGTCTCATCATCGACGCAACCGGGTTTGTCGCCCAGAGCGCACCGTTTACCATCCAGCCGGGGAGTGAGTACATGTATCCTACATCGCGGCGCGGTGCGATGACTGACGCGCATGGGCATTTACCAGACGACGATTGCACCCTCGTCTGAGTATGGCAGGGACGTGGACCAGCTGCGGGAGTGCACCATCCCGCGATACGTCCGGACTGATCTCTGCCCGGATGCTCCTGTGCGGAACGAATGTGTAAATGTCGAGTACGCTCATTTCCTGGATCGTGTATCGTTCCCAAACGGCAAGCATGCCTCCCGAACAACGCAGCGTGGGCGCAAAGCTTGGGCCAGATTGCCGAGGGGGTCGCTCGGATTCTATAGACCTTCTCCTTTTCCGCGACTTGTCCTTGTACGCGGAGTTGAGGCCGCGTAGCACGTAGTCGCTAGCGCCGTCAGCTATCATCACTACGGCAGGGCCTTCTCGCCTGCGCTGATGGTGCAGCGCTTAACACTGACCAGGGTCATAAGGACGGCGCATAGTCTCAGTTGCAGGCTTCAAGACCACAGACCTCAGGCCTCAACATCAACTGTGAATTCGACACGTTGTACGCTGCTCTACGACATGCTTGCAAGCACCCTCGCTGTTACGGTCGCACTCGCTGTTTCTATCCTCGCTCGGAGTACAGCGTCTCCATTCACCATCGATACACCGTACGTCCTTTGTATGCGGGTATGGGTCGTGCGAGGCTTATATTGACCTCTCTAATCTCAAACAGATCTGAGTTCATCCAATGTGAGAAGACAAAGATTACTTGGAGCGGTGGTGAGGCACCCTTCCTTCTGGTACGTCGCCCGTTCCACGCCCCCTTCCAAACCATCTGCTAACCTCTCGCCATGCGTACTACAGGAGTGAGCGCTCCACCCGTACTGCCCGAGCAGCGCTCGAATTCTCGGACTGACCCCCTGCCGTATAGGTTCCAGAGGGGCCATGTTGATGTCGAGTCTTTCGGTGTCAACTCGCGCACATTCACGTGGAGCACAAATGTCCCCGCCGGTACGTCTTCGTGTTGTTCACTATGCTCGTGGGCGGCCAGTTTCTGAATTGTGGGTGTCGTGCGGTCTGGTACAGGCGAGCAATTTCAAATCCTGTTGCACGATGTCACGGGGCAGGTCGCCGAGAGCGCGATGTTCGTCATTCAGCCAGGCTGTGAGTATTTATGTCCCTCCTTGGGTAGTGCAGCTGTGTGTACTGACGTCCTGGGACAAAGCGGACGACTGCACACTCGTGTAGGTCTGCGCAGTCGCAGGATCGGATCCAGTCTGGTCCTGGGTTGGACGTAAGCAAGACAGTAGTAGGCGATTATTTGCATCAATATATGAGGAATTCTGCCTGCTGCGACCGAAAACACGATCGTAGCAATCTGTGAACATTACCATCATATGCGTGATGAGTTTTGAGTCATGGGTCTGAGCTTCCGATGGAGCACGATAGCGAAGAGGGACATGCAATATGCGCCGGTCGGAGCCTCCCATCCAAAGGTACGTGTATTCTTACCAGCGGCATGGCCCTGCGCTCAATCTCCAAATAGACCCAAGACGCTCCTTGTAGCACCTTTCGTGACATGGATGGGCGGTCATTTTGCATATTCCGTGATGAATCGGAATGGCTTCGCCGGCAGAGGAGACTCCGGTATGCCCATGTATCCGCGCGCTCACTTTAACATCCAGCCGCGCCGTGGATGAGGGCATAGAATACAACCTCAACGACGCCCTATAGAGTCAACACGCGCCGTACAACCACACTTCGCAGTTTGACGCACTGCGATCTCTGGGTTTGCCGCTTTGAGGGCTTCCTCTGTGCGGGCATAGGCACCCGTGAGACTGGTGTTGGCACCTCCGGCGCGAGAACACTTCTGACTCGCTAGATTTTACGGCTCATAGTTGCATTCGCGCGGTGAACAAGCCGCTCAACCAAATAGAAGAGCCCGTAGCGCAGCTTATTTCGATGATATAAGAAGGACGAGATATCGGCAGGGAGGTGCAGACCTCCGACTCGTCGACATCAACTGCCTTTTCACACAGAATTCGCACACCATGTTCTCTAGGGCCCTTACCGTCGTTATTGGGCTCGCCGTATGCACATTGGCAGGAGGACCGTTCGCAATAAACGAGCCGTAAGCTTATAACGTCCTAACGGCCTCATCGCGAATAGTGCCCACGCTGATATCTGTCTCTGCCCACAGGGATGGCTTTACGCAGTGTGTGCCGACACTTATCACCTGGTCGGGGGGTGAAGGCCCGTTCATCCTGGTGCGTTTCTCCAGTTCATGCTCTACATTCGCTCACTCGGCGCTTTTTCTCCAACAGGTGTAAGTCACAACTATTGCGCTATTCGTGTGCCGTCGTCTCAATTACCGATGATTTGATAGAATCCAAAGCGGCGGAAATCGTGAGCCGGTCGAGGAGTTCCCAAACATACCCGCTGGCTCGACCGACTTTCTCTGGCAGACCAATGTCCTCTCCCGTGCGTGACCGTCACATTCTATGCTTGAAAAATTGTCCTCCTTGACAACATGACTACGCAAACAGGCACACTGGTCTCCCTCGAGCTCGTCGACTCTACCGGAGAAGTTGCTGAGACCGGACTATTCCTCGTTCAGCCTGGAAGTGAGTCGATGTGTTTCACTGATGCTGCCGTCCGTGGCACTGTTGACGACGCGCTTGAACTTCCAAAGCTCTCAACTGCACACTCGTTTGAGCAGCTACGCGCGGCTCGGATACGTGCGGAATGGATCTTTGGAACATATAAATGATTTTCGAAGTCTACGAGCAGTCATTAGCTTGCTAGCGGTCATCTGAAGAAACGATACAGTATCAATTGGCCCACCTTGTAGTAATACTCTCTGTACGCGAGCCACGACCGCTATCAAACTTCACCGGATTGAGCACGGCTGTAGCGGTTGCGACTGGTTGCACACAACAAGAACTCATACGACTGGATTTAGCGTGTGACCCTACTCTACGACCTGCATCGCACGAGGCAGGAAGACCCGCAGACATTGCGCAAAATTATGCAAATATATGAGAAGAAGACAAATTGGCGAAAAGGACAAGGGACAGCAATACGTCGAGCAGACGCAGGTGCAAGTGTGCGCAGCGGCGAGAGGCATGCCGGCTTTTAGCGCCGAGCTCTGGCCTTGCCAAGCTTAAAGTGCAAAGCTAAGTGAGATTGTTAACCGTCGGCGCTTGAGGAGATATAAAGTTACTTGAAGTGCTCACTTCAATTCACTTTGCTCACTTAGCGTCTACCAGTTAGAAGGCGCTCACTTTGCATTCACTTCACTTTCATACTCCGACACTTTCGCTTCTACTACTAGCTCACCGGCTCTGCACCATGCTTATGCCGCCGTCCTACTAGTAGCTCTTCTTTCTGTGTCGCCTTTGTGTCATCTATCCTGCCTGCCTGCGTATCATTCGCCTGATACATCTCGTCATCGTGTTCTTTGTTACGGTCCTGTCGCTAGTCCTTAGGTACTAGTGATACCTCTCGCCCGCACTGCTTGCTACCTACTCAAGTACTTCCGCCACCGCCGCCCTTGTCTCTGCAGCATTCTTCGAGCTTTGGTATCCAAAGATGCAGCACCACAGAACTAGTACGCTTTCCGGGAACTTGCATGCCCCACTCCGTTGTAAGTATACGCCCTCCGCCGCCGTGTACAGCACCAGCACCGCAACTGACGCCGCCTCTTCCCGCCCGACCGCCTCCACAGCCGCTGAAACACTTGCGCCCGCCTTCACGTACGCCATGACTGAGTATGCAACGACGGCCATCGCTGCCGCGTGGTGTGCTACTCGCATGCCTCGGGCGCACTCGCCGCACCTTGGCCGCACCCGCCTCGATCACGATCACGACCACAACCATGACCATGAAGTAAACTAGTAAGCTATGACCTCTCGCTCGATACCTGTAATAGTTATGCTATATATTTGTACTTGCGAGTACTATGCTATAGTATCATGACTTTCGCTCACTTCATCTAACTTTGCCTCACTTGGGCGCCCTTTCTCGTAATCTCGTAAGAGGCTGAAATCGAGCGAATGAACAGCGGAGCAGTGTGCCGCTGCCCTAGAGCGACCCTCGAGTGCATAGATACCTATCCGTAAAGGTTCCCTCCGTGAACTCTTCGTCGTAGGGACGTCTACAAAGTGTATAGTCGGCGAAGTGAAAGCACTTGCATAAGTGAGCCGAAGTGAACAATCTCACTTCGCCACATAAAGTGAGCGTAAGTGCGCTTAAGTTAGCGTAAGTGAAAAAAGTTAGCTTAAAGTGCAAAGCTAAGTGAGATTGCTTGCACCCGACGCGGTCGGCCAACTCGGAGTTCTGCCCTTCTTCTCTTGCTTCTTCTCGCGGGCCTGCGCTCGCTCGCCTGCAGTCGCTGTTCCTCTGGATGTCCATGTCAACCCATATCCCCGGCTGCTTCTTCGGCTCTCAATCTTTCACTGTCTGTCGTTCTTATATTTCGCTCGACCCTATAGACTTCCTGCGGTCGATACCTCAGTGCTGTCATGCACCTCAATCTGATCGATACTCCCCGGCGACAGACGTCGACGCTCGAGCAGGATAAACAATCATGGTCATCTGCTCGGCTTAAAAAATTTAGGTAAGCACATACGACGTATGTCTGATAATTAAAATGCTTCCATCGCACTCCAAAGACTGATGTAGTTCAAGAGATCAAGAGACATACGGAGGTGCAGCCTATGGAGGTACCAATGAGCACTCGGTATGCGAATCACCATCGAGCAGCATTCTGTGCTACGCCATTTTTGTGCCCAGGGTATATCGAAGGCATCCAGAACGCATAGAAAAAAAGGCAACACGATTACACGGAAGGGCACAACACGAGTGGACGTGTGGCACGAATACACAAAGGTAGGCAGATAGAAGACCGAGCCCCTTCAAGACTCACTGGACACTCATATATGAGCCAGAGTCCAGGTAAGTACATCCATTGCTATATCTCCTTATTGTACTAGGCGGGGACTGAGTTCGTCGTGTAAAACTCCAAGGTGTTTGTATCGCGCCCTGTTCTCCATGCTCTTCGATGTACACCCTCTCCTCGCCAGCTCGTCCATCCGGTCTGCGCCATGTGGCGGGATGCACGGCATATAAACACGCTCCCAAGCACGATTCAGAGGCTATAACGCAGATCCTCCGACGCGGCCTGACTGGATGCAGCACAGTATTTTGCATTCTAGGTGAGTCCGGATGAAGAACGTGAACCCTCGACCCTGCTCAGTTTGCCGGGCACGAAACGGTTATGGTGTACACGCCCCGCACTGCACTGCGTTTCCGGTATACTGATCATGAAGCTCATCCAAGGCCCAGACACTCCTATACGGGTACCATGGTTTAGCGCTCCTCTCTCCCCCGTCCACTTCCTCTCTAACTCGGACCTTTCTCTACGCGCTCACGATCCCGCATATCCTCTACGAGCTCGTCTGGGAGGGTTGGTCAGCATATGAACTTCTCGTATACCGGCCATGTACATGTTGATTAGGAGATTTTCGAGCAGGCTCCTTACACGTTCCGGGAATTAATGAGCAGCACTCGGGCGGTACATCGGCAGCTTTCGGCAGATCCACAGATTCGCACCGGCTTCGCGGTCCCGTCGTGCCTCATCTCACATCTCACACGTTCTGAAACGAGGAGAAACACGCGGTTTGCAGGCGGCAGAATGCAGGCTAGTGTCAGGCTTTCGGCGAGAGCATAAAGATAGCGGGGCATAGTCCCAACACATCTGGCACACGTACCGGGCACGTCGTCAGCCCTTCCCCCCTCCGCTACATCTTCAATCGACTGGTGAAGCGTTCGATTTGCCTCAGCGTGGTCAATCAAGGTATGTATTAGAATCGTTCACTGCACGAAAATTACACAGTTGCTTAGCTGATGGTATCGCTTCTCATAGAATGCCGCGCTTTTTGAACACCTGGACGGGTGAATTTGAATGGCACCCCGATCCGAGATATGTCACGTACGCTATCTTATCCCACGTCTGGCGCGGTCCTGGAGATGGCGGCGAGCAGTCGTACGACGATATCCGGAAAATCCAAGCAGCTGTGAAGGAAGACCGCCGCGAGGAACCTCCATCACACCTTGCCATACATCCCATCTCCAAGATATTCTCGAAGATATTCACCAGATGTACGTTGCGGCCCACCCCCCATACGCTCAACACTCCCAGTCCTGAACGCGATGAGGCTGGTACCATTTTCTCCCGCCCGGAGCTCTCAGACAAGATCAAGGGATTCTGCAAAGTCGCACGCGAGGCCGGCTTCCGTCTCGCATGGAACGATGCATGCTGCATCGACAAGACGAGCAGCGCCGAGCTCTCCGAGGCCATAAACTCTATGTACGAGTGGTATCGGCTCTCTGACATGTGTTATGTGTACCTCGCCGACGTCCCGGATGGCGACAGCCCCATAAGCCCTATCTCCAGGTTTTCTCAGAGTCATTGGCACACTCGAGGCTGGACGCTGCAGGAACTTATCGCCCCCGAACGCGTAGTCTTCTTGACGAATACCTGGAGTTTCCTAGGAACAAAGAAGGGCCTCGCTAAAACTCTGCAGAAAGTCACTGGAGTTGCGTTCGACGTTCTTACCGGAGGGGTCTCGCTGGAATCGGTCAGCGTTGCGCGGAGGATGTCATGGGCTGCGAAGCGAAGCACGACGCGCCTCGAGGACCAGGCCTACTGCCTGATGGGTATCTTCGGCGTCCACATGTCGCCGATATATGGTGAGGGAGAGAACGCGTTCTATCGTCTTCAAGAGGAGATAATCAGGACCATCCCCGATCATAGCATTTTCGCCTGGGGGCGCGGTTGTACGATGTTGTCTCTGGCCCGATGCACCCGGCATGGCCGCGTCGGACAATACTCTCCTGCTCTCCTTGCGAGCTCTCCACTCTCATTCACGTGGACCACAGACATAACTCCCATCACCCCCTCCCATCTCGCAACATCCTTACACCTCAAAGGCGGCCAAAATGTCCCGCCGATTCATTGTAACTTCACTCCGGAGGGTGTTTGTATGCGACTTCTATGCGTCACCCTGGATCGTGTTCCACTTGTCCATAAGGCGCTTCGGGAGCTGATGTTCGAATCTCCACAAAGTACATGCGCGGAGCTCAGGGAGTGTAGCCGACTCGGAGAGGTGTCCTTGCTGGCTATGCTACAGTGCCAAGACGAGTATGGTGGCATCATTGCGCTCCCTCTGTGCCAACATCAACAAGGAGGAAAAAACGACCGCAACTCTCATATCGGAACACACATTCCATGTATGAAAGGGCATCGCGCCTACCGCACAGTCAGCATAAGGAAGAGGGCGTTATCGGCCATTCTGAAGCACGTCCAGCCGGAAGTTGTCGAAGTACTACTCGTTCACCACTGTTCTAGCCCCTCAATCCCCAAGTCCCTCCAACCGGACGGTAACCTTCCTGGTATTATTCTCTGGCCTGGAAACCGCCCCGGTCGAGTCACGTTCAAGTTGGCGCCTCACTGTGTCGATGCACTCAGTGCTCAGGGTTTCTCCCCTTCACCTCTACGAGTCGAATACTTCGAGCGAGTGATCTCCCTGAGGACCACACTCATGCATCATAGTGATAGTGGTGGGTATCGTCTACAAGGTCTGCAAGCTCTCGAGTTGCGTCTCCTCCTCATATCGCGGGAACCCGAGAACACTGAGGTGCTCTTCTCTGTCGATGGAAAAGGTATGGACGACATCCTGTTATGCTCCAGTGATAAGTATGCCTCGACTGACACCTTCTGCTCCAGTCGACATTTCTCTCCCGGTCTTCGGCAGTACGCCACATACCTGGAAGGTCGACCGGAACTTTGAGGATCGTAATTGCATCCCTGGATCCGGATCCGCACTCAGGGAGGGACGATCAGCTCTCCATCCCTCCAGGCGCACTGTCGCCCACGCGGTATTCACGGTGCGATCTGACGCAAACCGTGAAGAACATACCCTTGACAGCATCATTCGACCACTCCGGATCGCACTTGAGCTTCCCTTCGAAGGACCAGCCTGCCAATATGCATCGCACCTCTGGCTGGCCGTTGACCTATCGGAAGAATACTGGCAGTACACTAGGCCGATCGAGAGCGGTGCGGACGTTTCCTCTCCAGAACGGACAGAGCGCGACACTTGGCCCAGCGCACGCGAACCCTACGGTGTGGCCCAGACTCGTGTTCCAGTTGCCGATGAATATGCACGCCGGCGACCCGTGAGGCGAAGGGGCGTGAAGCTGAAGGGGCTACGGCCTGAGAATGACACTCTCCGAACTCGAGCGCAAGTGGCGGCTCTCTCCTCGCAGTGCGCGCCACAAATGCACGACATGAACCAGAGGGTGTCTGCACTGCTTGCAAGATTTGGAAATCCCGATGGACCTCAATGTATGCATTATCTATTTGTCGTTTCTCGCCTGCCTCTGATTGGCGACATTTACCAGACATGTACAGACAACCGATACACCGCTGACCTCGCTCGCCATGGAGCATAGCTTGAGACAGAGCACGTATATTGTAGTGTATCGTGGAAGGTGCGCTTCGTATATCGATACGTGTGATGACATCTGACGCGCACTTCTGGCAGAATTTCCCTGTGAAACAGGTCACAGCCCAAGAGTCAAAGATGTTGGGAGAATTGCTGTACCAAATGTGGACTATGCGTGTCATATGCTGGTCATGGGTGTAGTGTGGAGGTACATGCTTGAAGCAATCTGACTCCACAATGGGGGGGCAATCATGTTATAAAAGTGTATTTGGTGTTCCACATTGCCAACTACCCGGACTGACCATCGCTTTGAGACGCCCTAGGAGTTGACAATTGCACAGGTAAAAGGGATGGAGCCATGCATCCAGTCTTGAGAATTGACATACTGGGCGTAAGGACTAAGGTAATACATCCCGAACGATTGAAGTACATGCGCGGGAAGACCACATTGAGACCTTGCGTTCCTGTAGAGACCACAACCACGCCCCGCCCCCAAATTACCTCTTCAACTTCTGCAACGTCAACGCCTTCTTCCCCTCCTTCGAGGTCGCCCCCCTGCTGGGGCTCGCCGTCGCCGTCGAAGTCGCCGTGCTGCCAAAGAGCGCCTTGCTATTCGCCGTCGCGCAGCTGCTCTCCGAAGTACCCCCCTCGGTAGCCTGCAGCCTGTGCTCCGCCATAGTAGCCGTAGAAGGGCCCACGGCTCGCCGCGCGCGCATGGCGAGCATCGCAATCGCGCCCGCCCCGACGAGGAGCTGCCAACGCGGGTAGCGCTTCACGAAGCGGGACGTGTGCATAAGCCCGGACGCGCAGTAATGAAGCACCCACTCCCTGCGCGCGGATGTCAGTGAGCACAGCAAAATTGGAAGCTGGAGTGGGAGCGGCTCGGGCTGCTTACCGCGATCCGCCAGGCGCGAAGTCGCTCTTCCACGGCTAGGTGTGGCGCCAGAGGCCCTCAGTGAGCAACTCCCGGAGGAGCTCGGGCGTGACGTGCGCGCGGTCTGCCTTGTAGAACCGCAGCGTCTCGCCTCTGTCCGTGGCCACGATCAGGTAAGGCCTTCTGCGGATTAGGGAGACTTTCTGTGAGATGACGAGCAGGACGCGTGATGGTGACGTACGACCAGATGGCCCACTTTGTGGTAAGGAAGGTGGCGTTTGTGTAGTCTATGCGGCCCCAGCGGACGTGTGGGAGATCGCCCGCGGCGAGGGTTTGATTGTGCGCCTCGTCGAAGCTTTGGTCGACCAGCTGCGAGATCTCGCTGTACTTGCCCGTTGGCATCGAGCTGCCGCACGCGCCCCAATCAGTCCCCGATCCCAGCCTGACTAGCAGCTTAGCCTCGAGCCCACGTACATGATGAGGAACCAGACGCGTTCCGTCTCCTCCTCGGGAGTTAACTCCTCGTGGGTGATGACCTCGTCGAAGTTCTCGTCTGTGATGAGCGGGATGCGCGGGTCCCACGCCGACTCGACCTTAGGCTCGGGTACCGCCTCCGTGAAGTCGACCCCCATTTTCTCGAAGAGCGAAGCGACGGCAGGCGCTGTCTGCGAGGGTTCTTCCGCGCTGCGATGAAAGGTCTGTGCAGGGGACTGTGCGTGGGGATGAGACGCGTCGGCGAGGTCGAATCGTTGCTGATGCCCAGGTTGCCCGCCTTCCGAGTTGTACTGTGCGCTGGCGAAGGCGGCGAATGAGAGCGAGAGGAGCAGGACGGGGAGCTTCATCGCTGTCGTATGGACGATTGTGCGCGATGTCTGTGTGTGGGGAAGTGCATCTTGCGTTCGTATTTAAACCACGCCCTACGCGTCAGCGTGTGGGTCTCGTCTGCTCCGGCTCAGGGCCATGACACGCAGATGAGAGCGTGGACACATGAGGTGACATGATGAAGGCAGGGAAGATGTGCTGAAATGAGCGCCATTCAACGACTTGCAGCAATCCTGTCGACTTGCGGGGTCAGTCTCAACTTCTCTAGACAAGATGATAAACTTACGATAGCTCCCTCATACAAGGACACACCGGTATTCAAGATCGACTCAACTGTGGCTTGTAGGGCAAGTTGAATGGCTGCCTCATTCTCAACACGGCGCGGAGTCCAGAGGAGTTTGACCAGTCGAGATATGGAGGTGAATACCGACGAGTTGGCTGGAGCGTCTCCTGCGCCGTTCGTATGCCGCGGAAACGCCACGTTTGCGTTGCGGCAACACGACTAGGCACAACTATCTGCCGTAGCATCCTTCCATGCCTATGTCATAAGGTCCCTGAGAACGCGAACCTGCGGAGACCTCTGCAGCCAGATCGTCACCGCCAGAAATATCGACGAAGTAGATATCGCAGGACTTAAAGCGACTTCACCACTCGTATATCATGCTAATAGCGTGGGACAGATATGCGCTGCTGGAACAATCCAGGAGGCCTAAGGGAGGCCTAAGGTGTTGTCCTGCGTTGCGCGCGGCCGTGCAAGGGTCGTCTGAGCTCGTCAGAAGCGTGGTTCAGTGTGAGCCTGCCAAGGACAAACATCCATACAAGCAGAGAAGTAAGCAACGAATACACATAATAAGCCCAAATGTGTTGATTACCAGCAGCAAATTACCTCTTTACAGCGAGCGAGACGTCGAGTAGGGAGTGAGTGCCTCGAGTGCGCGAACGAGAGAGGCGTGTCGGTTAAGCGCCAGAGTCTCAGCCTGCGCGTGACGCCATCGGCGCTCGTAACCGACGCGGCGGTCGGCCAACTCGGACTCTGCTTTCACTCTCTCCCTGGATATCGCTGTGTCTCTGTCCGACGATGGATTGCACTTATCCTACTACTACTCGTTCTGTTCACTCGAAGCTATGTGGACCTTCTGCCAGTAATAGGCCCCGGGGCATCGGTTACCGCCCCTCTGACTTGGAATAAGTAGATCGGGCCGCTCCGCGGCCAGCCAGCCAATGTGAGAAACAAAGATCACTTGGAGCGGCGGCGAGGCACCCTTTCTCGTGGTGCGACCCCCATTTTGCGTTCGCTTGTCGTACTCCCGGGGTAAGCGTCCTCGGACAGTGTTCGATCCGTGGACTGACCCACTGTCGCATAGGTTTCAAAGGGGTCATCTTTATGTCGAGTCCTTCGGTTCCAGCTCGAGAAAACTTCCCTGGAGCACAAATGTCGCCGCCGATACGTCCTCGAGCTCTTGTATTTGCCGCGTAGTTTGGTACAGGCCGGGAACTCATCATCCGAGTGATCGACGCCGGCAGGCCGCTCGCCCAGAGTGCGCCGTTTGTCACTCAGCCAGGCTTGTTTCCCGCAGCTGTAAGCATTGACACTTCCCGTCAAAGCGGACGACTGCACCCTTGTTTAATCCCGCTTGATAGCAGGACGCGAGCCCGTATTTGTATGGATACAACCCGAACAATAGCGGGCAAGTACCGTGTACGTGTAGAACCGCGCGTCCAGGCTGTGTTTTTCCGACAAATTACGTGTGGCTGTCCTATGCGCCGCTCATAGATACACTGCGGGACTGCGGGAGCGGAAAATATAACAGAAAACTGACCAAGAGACAGGCACGGGATATATAGCGGTGCGAGAGGCGGATATGAACCTATAGAGTACGTGGAGGCAAAAAAAGAAGATGACATAGGGTAGGAAGAACGTGATGGGCTATTCTCCTCCAGCTGAGGATCCAATAACGTAGGTAGGTAAGCCTGGAGAGCATCTCGCCGACATAGAAGTATTGACCTGTATATCCAGATTAGAATTCGCAGACCGCAGAGCCTTATAAGCTGAACACGTACGTCTGAGCTCGTTCAGGCGCTGAGATCAATAACCTCCACCACCGGAGCATTTTCCTGAGCATCTACCGACGTCTCCGTGGCAAGAACGTCAGAGTCCACCTCAGGTATTGCGGTCGACGATTCATGAAGGTCCGAAGCGGCCGATTGCATGGCTGAGATGAGGAGGTCGATAACTTGAAGAGCAGAGGACGTGTCTGCTGGCGGGGAGACGGCGGCGGTAGCAGTTGCATTTCCGTCGTTCACCTTGACAGCACATCAACGAGTAAGGGGGGTGCATCAACAGCTAGGATGTGGTAGAGAGAACGTACGGCGTCCGTGTCAGGGAGAACGTAGAGGCAGCCCATCTTTGAGCAGCTACGCGGCTCGGGGGAGGAATATGCTACGCTGTTCTCGGTGGGAATCGGCGCAGCGTATGCGACGGAGGACACTGTATTGCAGAGTGAACATACTGACTCGGCAAGATAGACGACCTCGACGCACCATCCACAAACAGCGCAGAGATGGCGAAGGCGCAGGCGAGGATGAAGGTCGGCCTAATCATCTTCGATTCGGCTCAATTCTTGGCAGCGGGAGAGGATAGGTGAGGTTGTCGGGAGGTATCGTGACTGAGAACGACTCGGATGCTCCTTAGACCAGAACATCCCGCCGTCTTCTTATACAAACACGTATTGACGAATGATGCGCCCATATTGATGCACGAGCAGATATGGCTGAAGGGACTCGCTCACAATGAGGCTCGATGTTCCGTTGAGTATAACACCTGCCAGTGACAAGGGGGAGGCGTCACTTAGTGGGCGCTCCGGCGCCTGTGATCCTCCGCGGTCCCCGAGCGGCTCCTAGTCAGGATAACGTTGTATTTCGCCCATTCAGTACGGGAAGCTCTCCGCCCCCATCTCGCTGTTGAATAAGAGCACCAATGTTGACGAAGTATCATAATCATGATGCTCATCTGTACCCGCACCTTCGGAATCTCCGCCATCTGTGTTGAAATGTTCTGCTCTCTTCCATACCTACGTCAAAAAATCAAATTCAAACCTTCCCTTGGACGTTTCACGTCCTGACAGCCTCACGATAGTAGGCCCTGTGGCCCCTCCCCGTGCCTTATACTCTTGATACCGTTCCGGTGAGTGTGGAGTCTTGCGATGATACATCCGCTTGATGTAACTGACTCGGACATGCCCTTGTGCTTGCGGCGCTTCTGGTCGAGCTTGAAACGCAACTATCTGGATGTCTCGGCCCCTTCGCGCAAACAGCGCTACGTATAACTAAGCATAGGGCAGAGTCAAGTCGCCGTCGTGAGCGTCAATCCGTGTTACTCATCTTGTTCCTTCAGAGATGAACTGTCACCAGAACCCTTCTGAGGTGGGCGTCATCATCAAGGCTGATTCCATTGCATACCAATCCCGGTTCTGAAAGACATGACATCAGCCTCTACCGATATTGAAGTAGTGTAGAGACCGGGGGAGAGACGCGGTTTTCGCTAGGCCGGCTGCGTTGTTCGCCGACGGGTCATCGTTCACAGCCAGGTGAGAACTCAATGATTGAGTCGCGCACCTGTCCAAGTTCTCAGAAATCTGATATCAAGCCCGCCGAAGGTTCAAGTGGCAGCGTATCGATCGAACGCGAGCGAAAGGTGGTTGCCGCTAGACCGCTTGCGTTTACGAACTCGCGGACGGCCCGATGTGTCCTTCTGCGCGTATGAGCCGCCCGCCGCGTCCTAGAAGGCATGGCTCAAGCTCGTCGAGGACAACCGCTAGCACCGTCACAGATCCGGCAGGCACGCAAGTCGGGCGCAACACGACCTCGATGGACTTCCAATGCGTGCTGCGCACGGGAGACTTCGCGCGCCCTTGGTGCACGATGCTCCTCAACGACCTGCTGTGTGCGAAGTTGAAGCTGAGCCTCGTAGGCAGAGCGAACTCGCGCGTCATTGTCGTCATGGAGGGCTGCCGAGGGCGAAGTCTGGACGGGCGGGAACTGGTCGCGGTAGACGTGCCGCATGGGCGACGGTTGTGGGTGCTGGTCGGAACTACAGAGGCGAGGTCACGTAGCATGTAGAAGCAGGCTGTATACCTTCGCGACGGGAGGGTAGTATGTCCGCCTACAGCAATTGCGCAGCGCGCCACACTGATCATGACTATAAGAACAGCGCGTCAACAGGCACACGTCGATCCTAGACTGCACGACTCTAGCATTCAACGCTCACTTGACATTAGCACGTACCTCGCGCTACAGCTACAACATGCTTGCTGGCATCGTCGTCGTCACCGTCGCGCTCGCAGCGTCCGTCCTCGCCCAGAGCCCGCTGACGATCAACACTCCGTACGTGCTTTGTATAGTTGCACTAGGATCGCCATCGCCTGAAATGTGTCAAACAGCTGGGACGCCCACCGGTGCGAGACCACCATGATCGCCTGGAAGGGCGGCGAGAGGTCCTTCTTCCTGGTACGCCGTTAATCTTCCGTACTCTATACCGTCACCACCTGACCCCGTGTCTCTCCTACTGCAGGAGTGAGCTCTTTCCCCACCCATGTCGGACTGAACACTTACCGCCCATGTACAGGTTCCAGCGAAGCACGGAGGTGGTTGAGTCCTTCGGCACCCTTGGCTCGAACGCGTTCTTCTGGAACACAAACGTCCCCGCCGGTGCGTCCACAGCTCCCCGCGCCTCTCAGGGAGCCGTTACTGACGAGTCTTGGGCGGTGTGGTACAGGCGATGAGATCCAGATGGAGCTCATCGACGCGACCGGGAAGTTCGTCCTCAGCGCGCCATTCGTCATCCAGCCGGGATGTAAGTGCTCTGTGCACGTCGACGATTCGGTTTGCTGACGCGTCGTGACACAGCGAACAACTGCACGCTTCTCTGAGCGATACGCAGTCGCATTCAGGCGTGCACGACACGAGGGAGTCTGAGAAGGCGGAGAATTGTCGACGTATCTTCGACCTGCTAGCGACGCCCGCATCAGTATGCGTAGAACGGGTCGCGAATCGAAACCGACGCATTCATACATACACACGATTATGAATTGCCTGGAAACGCCCCGAAGGGTCATGAGCGCGACTGGTCCTAGAAGGCTTGCGGTGTAGAAGCGCCGCGTGAGCACTTTCGGGGCCTGTAGTCGTATACTCAGAAGGTGCACCGCCGTGGGGCGATCGCGCCGCAGGTGGAGGCGGGCCTGAGAAGGCTGTGCTGGAGGCAAAATGATGAGCGTTGACTGCGATCGGCGCACGGGATCAACGAGGGCGACGAACATGCTGGCGGCTCAAAACGTATTGTGGGGTTGTCAGCGGCGATGATGAAGCCGTCTGGGGGGGTTGGGTGATCCGCACATACTGCAGCGCTGGAGCTTCTCGGTCTCGTACGGGGCCGCGGTCTGTGATGAATTAGTTCCGGCACTAGGCTGCTCGGTGGCGTCTCGTTCTCGTCTGGCACGGTCGTCAATCAGTATGGCAACATATGTCAGCTGGATATAAAGTTGGGGGCTGATGGGCGATGGGCGACCCTTCGTCTTGCAAAGGATATCCTCTCACCGCACGCAAATCCAACAGCATGATCGCGAAGACTCTCACTCTCGCAGCTACTGCCGCTGCTCTCACTGCGTCTGTGTTCGCGCAAACGCCGCTCACTATCAACACTCCGTAAGTTCGCACATTACTAGATACTGAATAGCAACTCACCAGGAAACCCGCAGTGCGATCGCGCGGCAATGTGAGCATACGCTGATCACCTGGGAAGGTGGTTCAGGTGAGAACGAGCAGCAAAAAACAAACCCTGGGCATATAGCTAACATTCTCTGGTTGCCCCGCTCTGAAATAGGGCTCTTCTTCCTGGTGCGTTGCCCCAGAACATCTTAGCAATTGCAACTGACCGACTGACCTATCCACTTTGTTGATTTTCAGCTGTGAGTTCGATTATCAGCCACCCGTACATATACAGGGCTCGGACCCTCACATGCATGGGCCATTCGCGTAGCGTCCTAGAGAATGGTTCGCCGATTCAAGAGTTCGGTGGCCTCCCCGCAGGCACGCAATCCTTCGACTGGCAGACCAACGTGAAGAAAGGTTCGTTGACATATCGCATCCCCCTTCGCGCAAGCGTTCCGCCCGTCCTGTTACTAACAAACTCTCCAGGCACGAATGTCACACTTTCGATTTCAGACGAACAGAGGGATACGGCGGAATCCGCGCCCTTCATCATCAGACACGGACGTACGTGCCTATATATACCTCCATTCGAAGAGATTTGTGCTTAACGAGACTGGGGCGTTCGCTCTTCAGGGAACAACTGTACCGTCGTTGAATGAGGTGGTGATATTCTGCAGGGTTGCACGGGACAGTCGCCTTATATGTAGCGTTCAGAACGTTTTAGTCTTCGAAAGGACTCACACATCCACATTTTCCGCGCCGTAATGCACCCTCACTCTCCCCGCAACGCCATGTTGAAGTTCGCCTTGTATGCCTGTCCTCAAGACAAGTAGGTCGCCGTCGAGGTGTTACGAGATGGCCATGAGAGGCTCGCGGGGGTTTTACAGGGGATCTCAGTAGTCGTTCATGCAGGTACGAGATAGCGACAATGGTGAATAGGATTTGGGGGTCTCCGACGTTGTCGACGTCGAGGAGTGAAAAGCAGTCGCGAATGGGCGCTTCCTCTGGTCCGCCACTGCCACGTGAGCTGCCGGCAACGAGCGCCTCTCCGGCCCCGACGGCCGAATATCGAGAGGCCTATGCCGATTCACCTACGCATGGGGGGTGCGCACGTTTTCTTTCAAGCCACCATCTATGCACCTGCTACCCAGAAATAGCGGGTCATTCCTGGGATCTCTGGTAGTTCTAAGAAATATCATGGCCCCCACGACGCTCAAAATAACTAGAAATGCACTCCTTCCGACGTAAGTCAATACCCGGGTACCGTATGCAAAGGGTAACGCTCACGCAGGATATCCAGGGTCACATCCTATACGTTGCGATGCCACGCAAGGCGTGTATAGTTGCGCTTGGGTATAATTCTCCCACTCGAGATTCACAGAAGGGTGAAGTGAACTGCTGCCAACTTGAAGGGCCTTGGTGGACGCGCGGATGCTGTTGAAATCACTGACGTCGATCTTGATAATGTGTATCATCCCTCGCGCATATTTCTTTAAGTCGTTAAGTGCTGTCGCTTTCTCGGGGGTGCGGCACGCCGCGATCACCAGATTATTGGGAGATGCGACGAGCTGCGTGACGATTTCGAGGCCGATGCCACGGTTAGCGCTGTGGCAGGCATAACAAAGGAGTGTAAGCTCTAACGCGAAGAGAAAACTGAATACACGTACCCGGTAACGAGCCAAGTGGTGAGACGAGTGGTTGGCATTGTCGCTGTCGTTAGAAGGTGGCACCTTGTAAGAGATGATCAGTATCGATGATCAGCACGTTCGACCGTTCTTATAGACGGTCTGTGGGACTTTTTCGCCAGCATGAATACCGATCGGAGTGAAGCGACAGAACGGTATGCTCACCCTTTGGCCGGACATAGCAGTAGACGTACACGATCTGCAGTACTTCTTTCGAAGCATAAGCAGCGTACGTAGGCAGAATGACGATATGCGGGGTTGTATGTGCTCACGGTACGGACGCGCTCTGGCCATCCGGCCTTAGGTCCTACAAAGACAAACAAGTGTCGTTCGATAAGTAAGCTACCATTTAGAAGCCCGATCGGGCACCAGTTGAGCACGTACAGCTTCGCAGGGATGATACCGGGAGAACTTCCGGCTATGTAAAACTCACAACCGGTCGAGCCTTGAAGTGCGTGCCGGTGAACCTGGTAAAAGACAATCGAAGATGCTCACACCTGTCATCGAGCATAGGTTGCAAACGTTTGAGGACTCACCATGCCTACTTGTAGTTTGTTTATTGTTAATTCTACCCCAATCTGGGTGCTACTGCACGCTACGGGGGTGCGGGGCGCGTTGTTCGCGCCCTCTGGCATGGCACTGCTCGTCTTCGCTTTCCTTCGCGCTGGTGTACTAGTCGCGATCATGTCCGGAAAGCGCTCGCCGGCTATTTGTCGGTATACTAAAACCTGTATGTGACTATCGAGTGCGTTGAGCTTCACGTTAAAATGACATATCACGTATCAGGTCCAGACGTACATCGTAACCTCGACTTGAAGTAATGCTCGCAGTCTCTACGCTTGAGCAGGTGCACCGCGGTACGGTAGACAAGGTGGCAGAATGTCTAGTCCATCAAGCTCAATCACGGAGGTTCTACGAGGGACGCGGAACCGGTGCTGTAGTACGTACCATCTTCCGGTGCACGAGCCTCATTGGGCCTCGTGTATGGGGAACATGTGACGTTGAAGATGCGCTGTGAACGTGCTCAATTGAGCATCAAGGATTCGGGCGCAAAACATTCCTTACGTGTGCATCCGGACTCGAGTCATGACGGACTGCTTCGCGCGCGCTCGGGCGGTATCTGGGCCTGCACTGTACTTGGAATCCCATGAGCACAGCGTTCCATGTGAGACCATAACGCGCAGAAGCAACGGGAAATGCGGAACAAGGCATTATAGCTGTCCAGGCACGGCGACTTCTCTTGATGTGATTGTTCGCCGTCTGCGCGAAGGCACTGCCGTTGTGTGTACTCGGAGTACGAGGCTTCTCCGTGCGGTCGACGCAGCCGCGACCGAGGCTTTATGGGAATGTGATGAGTGAGTATAAAAGATAGAGCTGCAGATGTTCCTATTCCGACGCCCTCGCTCTTTTCAAGTAGACTTCGCAGGTTGTGGAACAGCGGAAGATGCGCTTCATAAAGGCTCTCCTAGCGGCGGTCTCAGCGGCGGTGGCAGTAACAGCCAGTGGTCCGCTCCTGGTCAATACTCCGTAAGCCTCAAGTATACGGTGTTCCGATCATGTATGCGACATCTCACATGCTGCTGCTAGGCCGTCTCCGGAGCAATGCGGTATCACAGTGGTAACGTGGAGCGGAGGGTTCGGTAAGCGATCGCACCTCCAAAAAGCGTTACCCTACTCACCATATGCTCATTGACCCTGTGAAGAGACGTACTCCATGGTAAGTGTCGGTGTATATACCATGTAGCGGTGGACCGGACTACTGACGCGATAATCGCCGTTGCGGAGTAGGTGTGAGTGCACTCGAGTTCGGCGGGCGCAGAAGCAACCATGTGAAACTGATGCATAATTGTTTTCAGCGTCTTCAAAGACGACGAGGTCGTCCAGTCGTTTAGGAACATCCCAGAGACAAATGCGACTCAGACCGACTTTACCTGGTTGACGAACATCGCCGCCGGTAGGTTCACCCAATCTCAACCGCGCTGCAAGACGCCCGTCTTCGTGCAAGGGAGTTCGCTCATAATGGCTCCTTGCAGGTCAGCAGGTCAGAATCCAGGTCTTCGACCTGTTGGGAACAATCGCGTCGACGGGACTCTTTACTATCCAACCCGGCAGTACGTCGTCGCCGTGAGCGTTCAGTGATCAGGACACTAATCTATGAAATTCTTGACTATAGCCAGTAACTGCAGTCTTCTCAACTGAGAAATCGCAGAGACGACAAACGAGGGGGCAGGTGAAGGGAAAGAAAGAGTGTAGTAACGAGTGTCACCTTGTCGAATTCACTCGCGGGCGGCGTCCGGGCCCACATTATTCTTGCAATTCCAAGAGCACAGCGTGCTGGCGTTCCGTGTGAGACCAGCACATGTACGCGGTGCGGTGATGAATGAGAGCCAGAGAATTCTCGATCCTCAGGCACCTTGATGTCTTTTGATGTGACTGTTCGCAGTCTGTAGGCACTGCCATCGTGTATACTCGGAATGAACGGACGTACCTGTGAGAACCGACGCACCCTCGACTAAGCTTCTGTAAGCACGTGAGGAGCACGTATAAGAGACCGAGTAGCAGATGCTCTTACCTCTGGCTGTCCCTCCTCGGGCACATACACGGACTGTGGAACGCTATGCACTTCATCAAGGCTCTCGTAGCTGCGGCGTCTGCGGCAGCCCTTGTCGCCGGAAACCAGCTTCTGGTCAATACTCCGTAAGCCCTATAGGTCCTGTGGTGGAATCATGGGCGGCATCTCACCTACTACTCCCAGAGGGCCGTTCACCCGGCAATGCGGCATAACTCTGATAACATGGGTGGGAGGGTCCGGTAAGCCATGGAACCTTGAAAATTGTGACCACGCTTACAGTGCGCACGTTACCGGCTAAAGAACCTTACTCAATGGTGAGTGTTGCGATGCAAATCAGCTCCAGGCTTCATTGCTGACGTGAGCCATGACTGCGCTGCATAGGTGTGCGTGCATGTCGAGCGCGGCGCATGCAATTTCGTTTTCCGGAATAGCTAATTTATGGTCGATTCCAGGGTCTTGAAAGACAACGAGATCGTCGAGTCCTTTAAGAACATCCCACAGACGAATGTGAATCAGACGGATTTCACCTGGTTGACGAATATCGCCGCTGGTACGTCCTTCGCTCTCGGATAAGCTACAAGGCAATCATGTATGCGTAAATGTGAGTGCGCTCACGGAGAATATATACAGGGCAACAAGTCAGAATCGAGATCTTCGACCAGATCGGAGCGGTCGCGCCAACGGGGCTCTTCACTATCCAGCCCGGCAGTACGTCCACTCCCAGGGTCTAGTTTGTTTTTATTACTTACCTATTTCATTTTTAATTCAGCGAGTAACTGCAGCCTTATAATCTGAGACGGAGTTGAGGGAGGACTTTGAAGGTACGAGTCAAGGCAGGCGGAGGGAAGAAGGTTCGGGCGCTTGCGGTGCTGGCGGGGAGTTGCGAGAATGTGACGCCTGTTACATGTAACGAGGATCACACTTGCCGTCGTCACAGCTCACTCAACTACCGTCCGCGCCGTGCCACTGCTGTCTTTTGTCCGGACTCCGTTTTGTCACCTCCGCGTTCACGCCGTCAATATCCAGGAGGACCGAAAGAAACTCAGACAGAGTATGAGGTAGATGCGCATAGTAAGTATATGATGGTCTCGGGTGCTGCGCTAGGGGAGTCGAAGCACGTTGACGCTAGCTCTACTAAAGGTGTCGCCTTTTTGCTCTTGTTCAATGCTCATGATCACTCATAATAACCTTTGCCTTCAGCAAATTGTACAGCGCAAAACATTGTAGTCACCGTTGAAGACATGAATAATGCGTTAAACGACTCCTGATATGCCTAAAGCCGTGAATGCGCTCCTGCTATATACCGTGGCCCACTGGAACGCCGTCAGGGTGCTCACAGGCACGAAGTGTCTTCTGTAAGTGCGTTTCGGCGCCGATTAGGTGATTGATCATTCTGGTAAACAGTGCATGGACTTACGGCTCTGCTGGACGACGACTGGAGCAGAGAAAGCCGTCACGCCAGCGGCGTCGGTCATCTTCATTGTCATGACCGTGCCTGCGAGCACCCCGGCATCAGGACAGTCAGAAACGATTTCAAGAGAGCCAGAAGTCTGGTTATAAATAGGGCTGCGTGCTTACCTCCGAGAACGTCCGTGTCCCAGAGGAAGGAGTCTCCGGTCAGGCCGGGGAAGTCCTCCGTGATGGGCATGTTGTTCACCGCGCTGTCTGTGATGCTGGAGGGGAGACAGAGGCTGCGTTAGCTCTGCGAAGACGAAAAGATGGCGGTACAGCGACTCACCTCTGCAAACGAGTAGCATTCCGGCAAGAACTCTTCAACTCAAAGAAAATGAGCTCGTAACAATCGACTCACCAGATCAAACGGAGCTAAGGGATGAGGCGAGTAAGTGCATGAAGCGAGCTCGTGATGAGCAGGAGACACTCACGAGTACCCCCGGTCCAGGTGATCTCGGTGGGCACGCACTGTGCAACGTTTCCACTATGTTATATGAAGGTCAGCCTCGCAACAAAAACGTCTGCACAGTATCCCACTCACGGAGTATTGAGCACCAGCGGGTCAGCTGCGAACACAGACGCGAACACCGCGGCGACGGCGAAAAACGAGGTGATTGTCTTCATGGATAATGATGCTAGACGGATAGATCCACGCTAACGATGCAAACCTGCCATGCCGCGACGTCTCTCTTATAGATGCGGACGAGGAGGAGCCTCATTTCATCTCTCGCGCGCCGAGGTGCCGTCGGAAGCCAGTTCATCTCGGACCCGCAGTCACCGTGAGACAGCGCCCGCCGCGACCAGGCAGCGTACACGTACGGACTGTATAGGCCAGAAACGTAAGTTCAAGCGTGGTCGGGAGTCACTGCACAACTGATCCACTGAACCGCAGCACGAAGACGAGCGGCAAAGGACATGTGCACTGCTTCGCGAACAGCCTCGAACGGCATACGAGGAGAAGTACTGCAACGCACTGACGGTTGTTATTTTTGTTAGCGTTCCCGTCTAGTGGTGGGACGACGCTGATGCCTGCCGTAGACCGTAGGGCGCGAGCCGCTCCTCACGTAGGGGTGTACACACCGTGTGTGCATGACCTATGACGTTCCGTTCGGCGTCATTATGCGGTTCATTGGATTTGAAGGTCGCGGCTGTGTAGCATTGCGCATCGGAGCGAAGGGCGATGATAGCATCCGGGTGCATTCATGCATTACACCAAGGTCATAGGGCTGTTGAAGGATTCCCAACGGTGAGGTAAAACCATTCCTTTCATTCCCTGCTACGTGGATAACAGCTCGCAACAGGATACGCCCTCCCTGCGAACTCTACTTGAAGCAAGAAGTATCCTCTGTGCGTTTTTCCAGTATTTTCAGGGGACACTCGAAGCTTACGAGAAAAGCATAGGACGTACGGCTGGGCTGGACGTTGACCGCGCCGGAGAAAGCGGTCTCCCCCGTCGCATCGGTGACCTCAAACACAGCGACCGTGCCTGATAGGTGCCCGCAGGTTCAGTGGTGAGCATGTGAACATGCATGCATCTACCGAAGACGAACGTGTACTTACCTCCCAGAACGTTCGTGGGCCACAGGAGGCTGTGGTCGGCTATATTGGGGAACTCCATCGTGATCGGCATGTTGTTCGTCGCGCTGTCGGTGATACTTCCGGCGGCAGGACCTTCAGGTAAGCATTCGAGCGAGCGTCGTCAGGAGAGCGAACTCACGTCTAGTGTAGGGACGTGTGAGACTAATTCAGGAGTGCGATCAGAACGCTCGACTCACCAGGTTGAATGGACCTGTGGGAACCAATGGTGAGTCAGGTTGTGTAGGAATACTGCAGCGCGAGGGCACTTACCGGTGCCTCCCGTCCAAGTGACATTGGTGGGCTGGCATTCGACGACGAAATCGCTATGCAGGTCGTCATCGGTAATCAGCTCATTACTGAAACTCGATTATTGCAGTGCTGATGATTACGGGTTGTTAACCACCAGCGGGTCAGCCGAGAGTACGCCGCGAGCAAGCGCTGCGGCCGCTACGAACAAGCTTGCAACAAACTTCATGATGTTGAAAGGAAGATACACAGGTGAGATCTGTCTACAGCTCGATCCTACCTATGACGCTTCATATACTCACCTAAAGACGTCGCAATTTATGGACCAGGTCTCACGAGGGACCTGCTCCTGACTCGACCCGCAGTTGTAGCGGCAATCGCGCGCGTCAAGGGCAGCGTATCTGCGTTTGAGATGGACATACTGGTATGTGTTCACGGTCCAGGTCTAGTGATGATGTGAATCACACATGACATGTCGAGCCGCAGGTCGGAGACCACCCGGATCAAAGGCAGCCACACGAGAACATCGCGTTCTGGCCCCGACACGTAGGTCCCGAACATTTGCAGTAGTGTGGACAGATCTTTCAAGAATAGAATACGCCGATTGAAGGAAACATTGAGTACGCCGCTAACGGGAAGCAGAGAGTTCGAGATATACAATGATACATTCGTGAGTAACCGTCCACATCCAACAAATTCTCCAGCTAAATCCTAGAGTATCGATAAACTTCAGCCGCAGCGCGCACCGCAATGCTCATGATATACTCACTACAGAAAGTGGTCGAACCGCGATGAGGGTCCCGCCCCCGGCGCCGCCGGACCCGTCCATCATGCGCATTACACGCTGAACCCCACCATCTCCCAATCGTCCTCGTAGTTCGGATACGCACGGCAGAAGTCATACACGCGATCTTGCGCGTCGCGGATGAGCGACCTCGGCATCCACTTCAGGTTGGCCTGCGTGATCTTCTGGTTACGATTGACGGCGATCTCGAGCAACTCCCCGATGTCCCCGACGTCGACGTGTTGCTTGTCCCGCTGGTCCGCGCGATTCGAGTCGCGGTGGTGCTCCCAGCCCTGGAGCTTGAGCAGGAGAAGGGGGATGAGGGGCATTACCGGCAGATCGTCGATGATCTTCTCGCGCCTGTGCGGCACTGTAGGGAGGTTGAGGTTGCCGGGGATGAGGACATCGACTTTGCAGCTGCGGGGATTCCCGCGCCGGCTCGGGCGGAGCGAGCACCACAGGACGCGGTAGTCCGCGTTTGGGTTGCGTGAATCCACAAAGAAGAAGTCATTGTCGCCGTTGACGAGGACTTCCTTCAGCTCCTCCTGATCGTAGTCATTCGTGAACACGACGATATCGATGTCCTGCAGAATCGAAAATTAACGTTCAGGATCCCGCAGACCCCGCATGGTGGCTAAAAGAGATGTGGCTTACGTTCGGCGTCCGGTTCACCCCGAAGAGGTAGCAGGCAGCGCTGCCAAAGAGGCAGCACCTCAGACCGACAGAATCAAATATGTCCACGACCGTGCGCGAGACCCCGAGTATCTCTTCTTCTGTTGGTGGGCGAGACATGTTGGCTCCTCGTATGTGGAGTGTAAGCACAGTAGTAGCGTTGGGAGGCCGTGGACGTCCCCTGTGGCGGCAGGCACTGCGGTAGTTATCCTTTCCGGGGACAATGCCGTCGGCAGCAAGCCACAGATCCCATCGACCGCCGTGAGAAAGTGCACTGGCTAATGATAACGGCGCGCCACGGTGCAACTCGGGGTCCAGACTTCTCTGCGAGTATTGAACAGCTATCCTTCTACGAGTCTCCTCCCCCGCACGGTCGTCGACTCTGGATATCTGGAACAGAATTCACAGATACATGCTATAGGGCAACGAGATGAGTCTGTGCGATTTCTCACGTAGCCTGCTTCATCGACACCCCAGACAGCCTGCACTGCGACCTAGCTTGCACACAAAGAGTCCCGCGCATCTGCCCGCTTGTGCCAAGAACGCGCGATGCTGCTCATCCAGCGATGGTTCGTCGGATTGTCGGTACCAAAGATGGAGGTCCAGCTCTTCCACGGGCGCCGCCGCCAACCCACGCAGACGCATACAGTCAGCGAGGGCTTCCAGAGCTTCTAGCGACTCCGCGCCGGGCCCAAACCCCAGCTCGCCATGGATGCTGACCCGAGTCAGCAATGGGCACCGGGCGAGCGCAAGGTAACACTGCTCGTCTTCTCCAAGTCCGGCTTGGGTCTGCGCCGTGGGCTGAAGCGCTCGTAGCAGCTCCACAAGATCGACGCGGAGCTGGGGATAGGTAGGTGGTCGGACAATGACAACCAGCCGCTCGAGCAACGGGAGGGCGTCGAACGCCGCCGCCCAGAACGCTGCGGCCGCCATGACCTCGGGGATACCACTGGTGGGAGCGCCGTGCGGCCCGATGGACACTTTGAGTGTCAGGTTGCGCACCGGCGCCGACGAGAGCGCGGACATGAGCGGGCGAAGGTGTGTTTCCAGACCAAGGGGGCCACCCCAAGAGAAGGAAAACAGCGGGTCGTGCACTGCCCTGCGTGCCCGCCAACGGGGCCGTGGAGAGTACAGCAGCGCATGGCTGTGCCGGTCTCCGGCGATGACTACTTCCGTCATCCTCTCCAGGACTGGGCGGAAGCGGGGCAGAAGGAGGCGGACGATGTCCTCCTCGCTTGCGTCGCCCACCAAGATGGAGCGAACACGTATGTCGACGTGCGCAATGTTCCTCGGAAATACTAGATGCTGCGTGATCGCCGAGACAAACCAGAACGAGCCCTGCACGGAAAGCGCTCGCAGGTGGTGGAGGGACACCATTAGTCGTGTCGCGAGGCTCTGGGTGTCGTCTCGGGAGGCTGGCCTTGACGATGCTCCAAAGAGGTGGTTATAGAAATGCAGCGAGAGCTCTTCTAGCGAGATGTTGTGGGCAAGGACGCGGAGCAGCTGAGGGATCGAGCACGTGCACACGTGGCGGGTATGAAGGGTGTCGGACAACTTGAGTACACGCAAAGAGCGCCAGGAAGTGCTCGACAGCGGGTTTGTTTGATCTGCGACCAGCCAACGCGGACAGGGTACGGCCGCCAGCGGATGTTCGTTCCAACGTGTCCGTGATGTTCTCGAGAATCCGGAAGTGCCGATGGGCGTGAGTTCCAGGGTTTCGAGAGCGGGCATCCCCGCGTCAAAGAAAGGCCGGAGCATCTCGAACTGGTCCTCCCAGACGCAGAGTTGCGCAAATATCGACCGTATACGCGGGGCGTGCGGCAGGATGAGTGCCAGAGCCTCGCGGCTCGCATATCTCGGCGCGAGGACTTCGAGGTCCAACGTGCAGCCACGCGAACGCTCGAGACAGAGCGTCAGCCAGGCGAAGTTCGGAGTGGCGGAGATGTGTCGCCAGAACATAGATGTGTCGAGGATGAGGGCGCGCCAGCGCGAGCAGACGAGCATGAGCTTTCCGGTATCCCAGATGGGTGGGGTGTCTCCTCGAAAGGGGCGTTCCTGGCAGAGCATGAAGACGCGAAGGAGAAGCTCTGGAGGAAGATCCTGCATAGACTTCGACTTTGGTGTGAACACTGACTGGTCTTCGTGGTGGGTCTCCAGTGCCGCCAGTCGTGAAGAGAGTACAGATTGTAGCGTGGCCGCCGCTCGTGATCGGAACTTGATCGACGAAGAGATGCGAGCTACCGATAGCTGTTCAGGGGAATCGGGTGCTCGAGGAGGGTGTTCCCAGACGCGATTGGCAAGTCGTGACATCGCCGTGTCTCTGTGATGCATTGTACTACAAGGAGGTGGTAGATACTTGAAGGGCCGAGTGTTGATACAAACTTCCGGAGGAGCGATGTGCGCCCGAATTTGCTACGCCGGATGGAGGCGCGTTCAACTTGAAGGCGGTTCAGCAATCGTTATCACGCAGAGGTTTACTGTGCGTCCTTACCTGGAGCTTGAGCAATGGCAGCACCTCACTCGCGATAGAGCGATGCCCGAGCCTCTGGAGCTGGCCGATGTGCTAAGAAGCAGATACGGATGAGCAGAGAAACTTGGACAGTCGAGAGGAACACCCGTGGATAGAAATCAAGAATACACGCCGGTCAGTGTGGCCGGTCGACATGCTGCACACCTCAAGAAAGCGCTCTCCGAGTATATGGCCCGACTAACCGGCCATTGGCCCGGTCAATGACGACACCGTCGTGCACGGCTCGGGCCCGACCTGTACGGCATGCTCAACAGACATATGCAGATAGGTTGCGCGAGTCTGCACTGAGGCTGTACATGTCTCCGTATGCCATGTAACTAGCTCAAATGACGTCTTCGCACAGCTCAGCATTGGAGGTTCGCTACAAGTTCAAAGCGAGGTGAGCTGCTCGGTCCAGCCATTATACCCTCAAGAAAAAGAGACTTACGCCCGGCGAGGATAGGCACGCTACTAGACTGGGTGCCATTCCCGGCAGCGTCGATCAGGACGAAGTCGACGTTGGTCCCTGCACAGCAACGAATGAAATGAGCACGAACGGGAGCCCAGCTGCATGAAGTGCCTACCGGCGGGGAAGCGCGCAAGCCAGGAGAACGTGTCCCCAGACGCGATGGTGAAGGGCCCGTCGATCAGGTTTCCCCCAGGTGTTTGCAGCACCCTATGTAAAGCGCATGAGCATACCTGAGTGCGCAGTAGGCGCACTCTGAGAGAGGACTCACTTCAGCGTGACGGGTGCTAACAGCCAGGCACAACGTCGTCAGTGTGGTGACTGCACGAAGAGGACCTTCTGGTGAACGGTACTTACACTCACAGAGGTCCGTCCAGCTGATTTCAGCAGCAATGCACTGGTGCAGGGGCGGGCTGTGACAACTGCCTGTCAGCGTCGTTGCGCATGGGTGTGTTCGCGAAGAGCGCTCAGCCAGTGGTACGCACATGCGGTTGATGGCGCAGAATGGCGGGGAAGACTGAGCGAGTGACCCAGTGGCGAGGAGCACTGCGGCGGTGAGACTTGCGAACATCTTCGTCGGGATTGAGTATCGAGGTACAGGCGGTGTGGCGTGCTGGAGGATTCTAGGCGAACGTTTGGACAGTGGGGGTGCTAAAGTCCTGCTGAGGCATGCCGTCCACACCCTTCTAAATACTCTGACGCTCTAGGGGCGCTTACAGAGCATGAGCGCATGAGCGCGTGGTGCGGGGAAGTGGACGAAAGGCCGTCTCCGCTCTCAGAGCGGAGAGGCGATCCAAGTTGTTTTGGAAATTGGGGTTTATGAGCGCGAGCCCGCGGTGGCCAACCTTAGCATGAGGTATCTGGCTAAACCGGGCCTTCTGAGAGCGTGTGTCCTTTGCTGGAGGCCGTATGAGTGCAGATCGCCTCGTAACCCGCAACGGAGTGCATCAGCGTACGCTGTGGCACGTCGCCGGGTAGTACGAGATACCACATCGTTGCCGTCGAGCTGGCTTTCCCTGTTGACTGTCATTCGCAACGGCGAACGTGTCCCGGGGATGCCGCTCCAGCGCTGAGCTATGAACCAACCATGGCAAGTGTGTTCATCGCACCGGCTGGAAAGTGTGGGGTCAACTAGCGATGTGCTCTCCATGTTGAACAGAGAAACCGTATCCAAGCAAGTACATATCCATCTTACATGCCATCTCCATCGCACAGGGGCCCCAGAAATGCAAAAGCCCAAGCCGAAGACGCTGCCGCCCTCAGAGCTTGCTCTTCTCTGCCTTCTTCACGTATGCGACACCCGCACCTAAGCAGACCTGGACATACGCCGTCAGCATCCCCCCACAGTCTTGCAATTTGTGCGCGCACGCACCTTGCCTGTCGCAACATTCGTCGTCACGAACGCAACCTCCGTCTCACCCTCATGCCCCTTCGCCTTCGCAGGCCCAATCTCCCAGATCGACGTCTCGAGCGCGTCGCCCGGCTTCACGGGCGCGGTGAAGCGCACCCCGAACAGGGTCAGCGAACGCGGGTCCCCGCCGCCGACGGCGGAGATGATCGCGCGCGCGCCGAAGCCGAAGGTCGCGAGCCCGTGCAGGATCACGCCGCCGAAACCTGTCGCCGCGCCGATCGCCGGGTCTATCATGGATGTCAGCATATATGTAGGGAAGGATGCAGAGGAAAGGACAATTATGGAAGGGGTGAGAGGGGGGGACGAGAGAGGGACGCACTGATGTGGAGCTCGTTGTAGTCGCCGCTGAGGCGGTAGATGACGGCCTGCTCGGGCGTCGTCTGGTCGCGCACGACCCAGTCGGGCTTGCGGTCCTTGGGCGGGGGCGTCGCCTGCGGTGCGCTCCCGATGCGCTTCGAGAAGTTCGAGCCGGTCGCTTTCGCGCCGAGGTTGAAGGAGCCGCTCTGGGTACACACAGTCAGCCTAGCGAAGCGGGTAGGACGGGTAGGGAGAGGGACGCACGTGGAGCTTAGCATATGGCGTGCCCTGCGCGTCCACGAGCAACACTTCGTTCTCGACGATGATCCCCGACTCTGTGTGGGAGATACGTAGATCAACAATATATGCGCAGGCAAGTGAAGGAGGGCGCGTACTGTTCTCGCTGACTGCGACGATGCGCTTCTTGAGCTTCCAGCCGTCCCCGCTCACTGCAGGGAAAGGCTTGAGGATCTCGATCGACTGGCTGCCGTGGACCTGTATGGCGGGTGAGTTAGTGACCGTGCACGGCCGAGGTATGAGGCGCGTACGTACTCCACGGTTAGGGTCAAACTTGGGAAGGCCGGGGGCTCCCTTCCCGCCAGTCATGAGCTGCCGGAAGTTGACGACGTCTTGGCTGGTCCCTGAAAGCGTGAATAGTCAGCGTGGGTTCGAGCGAGGTATGTATTAAATTGCGAAGCAGGTGTGCGCCCCTCGGAGAAGTTGACAGTCCGTTTCATACCACGCATGCAAGATGGGTTCCCTCCCTATATTACACGTTTCGGCAACTTTGGGCAGCACTTAGGGGAATATATACTGGAGAGAACCTGATTCGACACAGCCCAGGCGATGAAGAACACTGACCTTTGAAGGGGAGCACGACAGGATATGTAGGGAAGGGTGCCCATGACTTGTCTGTATGCGCCGGAGTTAGTCTTGGGGTAGAGCCATGGCCCTATGCGAGCCGTTCTCACCCAGTTCTGGTAGCGTGAGGACAGTCAGTGGACCGAGCAGCGCTAGAGCATCAAGAGAGCGCACCATTGATCAAAGCAAAGTCGTCCTTCTTCGCGCCAATGCCAACGGAGTAGATGAGAACGTCGCGTTGGTTCCAGGAGACCTACAAGCATGTCATTACGCTGAGCAGGTGTCGCGTGCTGTGTGAGAGTAGTGGGCGTACAGGCTTGTCCTCGTCCGCCCATCCGACGGCCGAACCGAGGTCGATTTTGGACATGGCGAGTGAGTGAGTGGTGGAGGTTCGGGTAGGCAGAGGTGGTCGAGCGCAGGGGCGAATGCGGGGTAGAAGAGAGAGGGGGAGAATCACATCCCGGGAAGGACAGTAGCCGTTCCACTGCTGCCGGCGCGGGAACCGTCCCCGTGCCCGACCCCGCGTTGTGACTACCGCGTCCGTGATCGTGACGAAACGCGTGACGATGACGCAAGACGGCTCTCGATCGCATTCTTGGTTTCGCGCTGCAGTCTGCTCGTTTGGGGACCTTGCTCTCGTCTCTGCTGCTGGCTGGCCAGATCGCGTCATCTCTTCCTCAGAGCGGTCGTCTTCGCTGTGCCCGCTGGTTCTCTCAGCTCGTCGACAGCACTCTCTCTACCGCGCAGGGAGGAGATCGTTCGCACGACGAAGCACGCGCCACCGTTCTGTGAGCTGCTCTCTCTGTACCGCCATCGATGTGCCCTACCACTCAAAGACCTCCTTGCCTGCCATCCTATGCCTCGCTCACTCCCCCGCCCGCCCCGTCCTCCCGACTCCCGTCCCCCTCCGAGTCCTCCCCAGCTCCCGTCCGCCCGTTTCGTGCAAAGCTCATCTCACACAAGGTGCGCATCTGCCATCCAGCACCAATGTCCAGCCGCTAACGCCCACGGCAGCAGTCCAGGTCGACGCCCGTGCGCTCCGTTCACATCACCAGTATATCTGTCGTGCTCATCGTCGCCCACAGCCCCACACTGCGATGGAACGCTCGGGACGTCGCCCCGAACGCTTGGGTGCATGCACGATGACGGCGTGCCCATGATTCGTCCGCCGTACTCTCCCCATTGTAACCAGCCCCGCCGTCGATTCCGCCGTCCTATCTTCGTCGGTGGGCCTGCATCATGCACCACGTTGTGGATGCGTCGAAGCCTCGCCTCGGGTGCGTTTACAGCCTCTCCCGACCGAGACCCAGCTGACAGTACCCGTCTAGACGGTCCCACGCACCTGAA